AATTCTAAATTATATAATGCTGAAAATTTAATCCAGTGTTTCCGAAATGCAGTATTTATTAACATTGTTTACAATATGTTCGATTTTTCTCATCTTGGAACAATCTGTCCTAAACGGTTTCATGAGATATTGTGCTAAAACTTCGTTTTTTAGGAGGTAGTCTAATGGTTGGGCTCTCTATATTTGAAATATTGTTATTATTCATTCAATTTTAACGATATATTTATGTGTTGTACCGAAACTTATTAACAACGTTGGTTTTCCTTAGGAGGCAACTCAACGGTCTTTCTATATTTGATTATTTTGTATTACTATGTATTTAATTCTTATATATTTTCAATTTGATACAGCAATTCTGGGAAAGCGTTATTTTCACTTTGAAACATGCTTTGGAAATATTTCTCGAGTTAAAAAATTTGCTAGTGGGATGTCTTCTTTGCTTCTTATTTTTATAATTTCTGTAACGACTCTCTCCTGTAATGAACGTAGTTCATACTATTATTAATAGTTTTATTTTATTAACCATTTAACTGTGTCGCTCACATTAAACTATTTTCACAATTAACAGTAGAAAATATTATTTAAATAGCTAAATCTTCCAAATCCTCTTAAATTCTTATTAGGCAGATGGTCCGATTTTGCCGTAAAATAAATCAATGTTATGGCAAGGCTATTTTACATTCCAGTTTTCATACAAAATGCTACTAAATACTGACAAAATGACATGTATTTGCTGTGCGATCAGGCGTTTTACTCATAAAATGCAACTTCACTTATATGTTATCAAGCCATATCTCAAAGATCAAAGTATGATAATATAGGTTTTTTGATATTTGTGCATTTTCTGGGTTAGGTTTTCTATCTAAAACGCCTGACTGCACAACAACCACATAGGATTTTGACAGTTTTTAGTACCACTTTATATGAAAACTGCTATATAACATTGTCTTGCCATAACTTTGGTCTATTTTTAATTTCTAATTTCTGCCATAACATTTGGCAGAATCGACTCCTAAGTGTATTATTTCTACAGTTTATGCAACATGTCCATGAAGTAAAACGCTACTTACAACTAATAACTTTATACAGTCATAACCTTAAAATATCCTAAACATCTTGACATTTCAATTTTTTTTTAACTTCCCGTTAATTTAAAGTAATCGCAAAAAAAATCGAAAATAAAAATTTTTATATATTCTTACGTTTTAGAAGTTTCTGAACATTTTTACATATCTTAGAAAAATGGATGTGTGTGTTTAGATACAAATTTTCGTCGACGATTTCGGGAACACGGATCAACAGATTTGAATGTTTCAAAAAACATTCGATTTCTATTGATAAGGAGACGTGCTGATAAGTTTTTGGCAAAGGCAGATGCAGCCGTTTCGAAGATACTGGGCAAAAATTGCCAAAAATAGCAATTCGTTTAAACATTTTTGTTCACTGTTTTGACCATGCGGTTCGAATGGACCAAAAATATGTTGTGACAAGATTGATTACAAATATGTGTAGAAGTTTGTGATCCACCGAGATGCTGCCGAACTATATTAAAAATTACACTTTCAGTTTGTTTATATTTTCGATGGACCAGATATGTTTAGATAATGGCTATATCAGACCGATTAAAAGATGATAAGTAGTTTAATTGTTGTATATTTGAATGAAATACTACGATATTAAGACTTATAAATGATATGTTGCCTAGTTGAAGTTTGAATTAGTACTGATGTTTGTTAGATGATATTTTAGATATTACTATTTTGAGAGTTGATTTAAGACTGATTTTAATTAGATGAAATTTTAGATATTACTAAATTATAAAGATTTTACAATTTAATATGATTTTTCTTATTGGTTTGTTTTTGTGGGTTCAAGCGACATCTCATTACATTTTTGACCAATCAGGTGTTTACCGATGATTCCATGGTACGTGGAATTCAATCGAGAACAGGTGATTAGGATTCTTAAAAAAATGGATTAATGATATGATGATAGATTTAGGGACAGGATGCATGACAATGAGAGGGATTATTTAATAGCTCTAAATTATATAATAAGGGATGAAGGTTTATTATAGCTATCCTGTATGAAGGTAATAAAATATAATATTATTCCGTTAGACCAGGGTTGAGTAAGGCGTTAACAATTTTACTTGTATTGACGAATCTAGCAGTTTTGGAGATCCAATGAAAAAAGTAGGCGGACAAAAATGATCATATCAGACATATGCACATCAAATTATCAGATATCTTATACAGGTGTTAAGAATAAGTACAAATTTTGTATACATTTCCTTGGGTTTCGGACTAATGTTCAATCGTTAATCTACGACGCTTACACGCTTCGATATTTCATATCTACTCAGCTAAAGCATCGCCATTAATTTCAAAATTCTTGAAAATCTAATTTTTTGAAGCTTTTTTGAAAATTTTAATCAGCGATTTGCTTTAAGGCACGAAGGCACGATGCCATGCTTCACTAGTTTAAATTACAATTAAAAGCAAATGGTCACTGTTTTATACGCATGACGAATATACTCGTCAATACACAAAATTATACCACTTCTTTAGAACGAGTATGTTCGTCAACCACAGTTAACTGATTAAAGGTGTAGCTAAAGATTCAACTGTATTTCTTTGGAGTCACATGTAACATAAGTGAGTATTTCTAACTAAGCGATTTCAGAACAAGACGAGCTAAAACGAAGCCACACGGTTTCATCGAACGCCGCCGCACCGTAATACATTGACCTCACACTTAACGCGAACTGCCCGACATCTTCTCACTAGTAACTTAACTACCTGGAAGACTGATTTAAAAGTTCATAAATTGTTACTATTGTTTTTGCATTTGTTACTTTGATAAGAGAGTGATTTGTTGTAATGTTTGGTATAAACAAATTTAATAAAATACTTTTTTAAGATTACGTATAGTTTGCTTAAAATTGTTTTGACCATGCCAATAACTGTTGCCTCATCCGAGAAGTCATTTTGCAATTCTAAAGATTATCATATGAAAATTTCTCTTTGTTTCTTCGAATGTTTTGAATGGTTATTCTTTTTTTAATTTCCACATTATATATTTTTTCATTAACTAGGCCTATATAATATATAGGTAACATATTACAGTAACAGGTAACAGTTACATATTATGTAAGATTAATATTTAAACATGTATTTTACTCTACTATTTATTTTTAGTGTACAGAATAAAAAGTTAGTCTTTGATATGGCCCTTTGCTAGACGTCGGCATATCTTGATATTAATGAATATCAATATATTATCATATAAAAGATTTTTTCTTTCTCTCGTCAATACACAAAGTTCTGCCACTTTTCCTTGACGAGTCTATTCGTCAATCACAGTTAATTTGTTAAATTAATTACATTATTTGTTTTCATTCATTTATTAGTAGGGCTCGCCCGTAGGTAAGCGGTTAAGAGCGACGGGACTTGTTTCAGAGGTCCCGGGTTCGATACCCACTTCGAGCAGCCTGTTGTCAGGCAGCAGTGACAACGATTTTCACTTGGAAATATAGATAGCAATATGTTTCCAAGTGAAAATAGCCCTTGCCCGGCATTGGTGCACCAATAAAAAGTCAACCCTATTAGATTAATTCTAATAACAAAAATCATCAAATATGGATGGATTAACCATTGGGTTACCATCTAAAAATACGAAGTAAAGGAGAAGTTTCAGCCCAACAGCTCATAGGACGTAAGGTTCTGATTGCTGTTAAAAATATAATAATAAAAAAAATCATTTATTAGTTATCATTTGTTAGTTATCATTTGTTTCATTACATTATTAGATATTATTTACAAATTCGATTGTGTTTTGAGATGCGAGTATATATATATATATATATATATATATATATATATATAAACAATTTACTTATATCGATTTAAAACTATTTTTTTTGCAAAGTATACGCAGCGCAACGCGTAAAATTCACTTCTTCGTATTCGCGCAAAATATTGTGTGAGAAAATTTAAACAATGCTATTTTTTGCGTAAAGGAAGATTCGGAAAAGGTTTGAAGGCAAATACGTATGGCAACAGTTGTCTATTGTATGTAACGTTAATTGGTAAAACATAATTAATATGTATATTTTAAATAAATTCAATACTCTATTATTTATATTCGCTATTTATTGCAAGGTTAAACACTATTCGTTTAAAGTGAGCTTTAGAACTTCAGCCAGAATTAAAATTAAAATGTGAATTAGTTTCGATATACGAAGAAAATTTAGTTTTTAATAAATTAATAATATTTTTTTCCAAAAGCAAATGTTTTGTCAGCACAAGCAGAAAGGTTTTTGTATCATTCAAATCGAATGCTTAGATCTCTCAAAAACTGGCATTTTTTGTACATTTAGCTCTATGTCTTTGAAATGGGTGGACCTACCTTTGCCAAAAACTAATCACCACTTCTCTCAGTCATTACAAATTGAATGTTTTTTTTTGGATCAGTCAAATCGGATACTCCGTTCTCTCAAAAACTCGATTTCTATTTCCTGCACTCTTTGATCCGTATCTTCGTAACGACTGGACTTGCCTTTGTCAAAAACTAATCAACACATCTCCCTATCAATAGGAATCGAATGTTTTTTGAACCATCCAAAATGATTGATCCGTGCACCCGAAAACGTAGACGAAAAATGCGGACACGCAAAACACGCACATTCACACACACACATCAATTTTTTCTGAGGTATGCCAAAATGTTCAGAAACCTCTCAAACCTGAAGATATGCAAAAAATTTCATTTTAGATTTTCGGCCCATTACTATAACACCCTACGGGAAGTTAATAATTAAAACTTATTTTGCGATTTCATTAATTCTCTCTAAGTATACCCTTCGTTAAGTTAGTGATTACCACTATACGCCATTTTGCATATTTGCTCTATATTGTAGTGCATAATATAAAACTATCTTTCTAAGTGGTAGTTTATTTGTGTGTTGCTGTATTGTACAAGACAATTATATATTACAGAATCATTGCAAGCTCCCCGTTTCACAACGCAGCCTTCAGCATCCAGCAACATTATCAGTGAAGGGCGAACAAAAATTCTGCAATGCCAGGCACTCGGTAAGTAAATGATATCATATGATTCGCTATTCCTACTATTTCAAATGTCTATTGAGTTCCGCATCGTGATCACAAAATGCCATTCGGTTTTGCATAATATCCTTAATAGCTCATTACAATATAGTTAGTCAAGTTGAAAGTTAGTTAGTTATATACGAAATAACTGTAGATTAGTCATATATTATAAAATTAAGTTAAACATAGTTTATAATTTATTGCAATCGCATATTTACAATTCTTACTATTACTGATGGATATATTAAAGAGACAAACTGTATCTATTTCACATTAATTGAATTCATCGATATTTAATTATTTTAAATTGACTTTAACTGGTCTACGGCGACATTCTTCTAACTGCAAACCGAATATAAGCAGTATTCGTTTAGCTGATAAACACTGTCCTTACATTTTGTTATTGATTAATGAAATAACTTCGTCTTGCTATATACTAATAACAATGATAATTTACTATAATTAATATGGTATAATTTACAGTGACTCTAAAATATATAAAAATTGACTTAATATTATCTAACAAAGTACAACGTAAAATCAAATCGAACTATGTAAAATATTAGAGTTCTAGGATATATATATATATATATATATATATATATATATATATATATACGCCAAAATATATTTATATATATGTATTATATTGGTCACGTACGTTAAGATTTTTGCAATTAACAATAAAATTGCAACTACCCATCAGGCATCTGAAAATTATGTATACGAATATGCTTATATGAAACAATACATAATGAATGAGAAATTTGTCGAATGCAAAATTTTAAAGGCGGGATAAAATAGTTTCTCACATTAATAATTTTAAAATTTTATTTTCAATTTCACGAAAAATAGATATAATATAACATCATAGATAAAAGAAGATTATAATATATAATCGTAATATTATATGTATATCATATAAAAATAATGATAATATTTGTTATTTTTAAAACATATTAAAATTATTTGGCATAAAGCCATATGTTGCGGTTTTGACATAATAAAATATCGTCACCTTATTATTGTGGCTCTAAAACCATATGATTTTTTATAGATATAGATGAATAATATAATATTTTTTGTTATATTTCCGTTTTCATGCTTTCATATTATTTTTGCATGTCTTACAAAAGATTAAGATAAAACAGATGTTTTTATAATAAGTATAATTTATTGAAAAAATTCTTGATACTTGCACCGATACGATAGTTTTCATTTCATTTAACCCATGTGATCCAAGAAATACACATGGCTTAGATTAGTTTTAATTCATTATCTCGAAGTTGTACTTTATTTGTATCTCAAATACTTTTTTCCGTTGCAGGTTATCCACAGCCGCGGTATCGATGGCTGCGAGACGGCCAACCTCTAGGAGACTTCAGCTCGGAGCCATTCTACAAAATATTGAACACGCGTCGTGAGGACGCAGGTTCTTATCAATGTGTGGCGAGCAACGATGTCGGCTCCATAATGAGTGAACGCATAGACTTCACCGTCGCCTGTGAGTATCTTATAAGGAGAACCCGCGCGTAGCTCGTCTCGGATTTTGATGAAACATGGCATAATGGTAGATTTAATGCCAAACTAACCGTGATAAAATATTAGAGGTCTATGAAAAGCGGTTTGATTATAAGTATCAATTAAAGTACGCGCAGCGTACATAGCTTGTAACGCTCTTCTCTTGAAATATGAAAATACATCTATGTATTTTCATATTTGAAGAGAAAAGCGTTGCAAGCTATGTACGCTGCTATACGCACATTAACTATAGTTATATGTGCTGCATAGTGCAATATTATGGAATATTTAGCGAAAAGTATAAAATTAATTAAAAACTTAAATGATTTTTAACATTATTTACTCATGCAATTATAAATATGAAATAAAAATAATAAAAAAATCTGAATCGAGGTTCAAACCCCGACGCAAAAATTACAATTCCGCGACGTTAGTTAGCCACTCGGCCAATCTTCTACTGAAAGAGGAAAGCGTTGCAAGCTATGTACGCTGCGCACTGTTAAAATGCAAACTTCAATTAATTTTTATAATTAAACCGCTTTTCATAGGCCTCTAATATTTTACCACAGTCAGTTTGGTCATAAAATCTACCATTATGCCAAGTTTCATCTTAATCTTATTAGCGTATTACAGTTATTATTATTATCTCAATGATATGCAGTTGAATCTGTAGATTAAAAACTATACGATTTCATTATCTTTGTTGTGTGCGCTCTATTTTGCTTGAATATATCTTTTTTCTTACTTATCGAGAAATGATTCGTTATTCTTATCCGAATTGGTCGTCTAGCAGTATAGCCCACCTGCTTTTTCAAATCTTTGGTTAACAATTCAACTAGTGTTGCATTGCATCGTGCTTAAGGAAAATTGCTGAAACTTCATTTCCAATAACTTTTTTAAAAAAATTGAATTTTTTTATATTTTGAAAATTTTAATCTTTTTTTTTTAAATCGTGCCTCGTGGCTATTTTAAAGAAGAAACAGAAGCGCGTAAGCGCTACGTCGCAGTCCTAACGAATAAAAATTTGTATAGAACCCATAACAATGTAAACAAAATTTGTTATTGTTTTTAAAATGCCTATAAAATATCAGATACATATGTCTAATGATAATTTTTGACCGCCAAGTCTAAAAAATTCTACGCTTCTTTCTCTCGAAAACTGATATATTATTTTTGGCACTTTTGCCCCGTATCTTCGAAACGGCTGCACCTGTTTGACCAAAAACTAATAAGTACGTCTCCTTATCAGCGAAAATCGAATGTTTTTTGAATCATTTAAATCGGTTGATCCGTGTTCACTAAATCGTCGACGAAAATTTGTATCCGCACATACATACACACACATACATTTATTTTTCTAATATAAAGATATATAAAAAAATTTATTAACTTCCCGTAGGGCAAGTTATAGTAATCGCAAAAAAATCAAAAATTTTTTTTATATATCTTTACGTTTCAAAGGTTTCTGAATGTTTTGGCATACCTTAGAAAAAATGGATGTATGTGTGTGTGCGTGTGTGTATGTATGTGCGGATACAAATTTTCGTCGACGATTTCGGGAACACCGATCAACCGATTTGAATAGTTCAAAAAGCATTCGATTCGTATTGATAAGGAGACGTGCTGATTAGTTTTTGGCGAAGGCAGGTCTAGCCGTTCCGAAGATACGGGGCAAAAAGTGCCAAAAATGGTAACTCAGTTTTTAAGAGAACGGAGCGTCCGATTTTAATAATTCAAAAAACATTTTACTTGTATTGACAAGATGAAGAATTGATCAAATTTTCATGGAGGAAGGTCTAGCGGTTTCGGAGATCTAATAAAAAAAGTAAAAAAAAATGCCATTTGGCGGTCAAAAATTATTATTAGACATATGTACATCAAATTATCAGATATTTTATAAAGATTTTAACAATAAGTATAATTTTTTTTACATTCCTATGAGTTCCGTACCAATGCTTATCCGTTAGACGGCGGCGCGGCACTTACGCGCTTTGACATTTCGTCTCTATGCAGTTCAAGCAGTACGATTGCTCTGAAAAACAGTTCAGAATTTCCAAAATATGTCAAAATGGAGAAAACATTTTTTTTTTCAAAAAAATTTTTCGTTTCCAAAAAAAATTTATTTTTCAAAAAAAAAGTATTTTTTTCTCAAATTTATAATTTCTCAAAAATCTAATTTTTTCGAAGTAATTTTTTTTTTAAATGTTAATCGTTTTTAAAAAAAATAATAATTTTTGGTACGGGAAGTTTCAGCAATTTGCCTTAAGGCACGATGCCATACGCCCCGCCAGTTTTCGATTTTTTTGCAATTACTATAACTTAGCCTATAAAAAGTGTATTCTTGTAGCATCAATTTATGCGCTGTATTGATATTTCTGCTTTGTAAAATTTTGATTTTCTCCTAAGTATTTCTCCTAACATTTATGTTTATGAATTATATTAATATTTATGATTATTTGAATGCATGGTGATTTTTAATTTTTTATATAAAAATATGTCATTCGCAAAAATACAGGGAACTTTTTCTGACATGTTGCACAATATTTCTCCTTTTTTGTTTACAGCTTACCTTTCTATCCACTGCCTTTTAAAGTTCTACCATTTTACTAATTTAAAATGGTATAATTTTAACGCAATGGAATTTGTTAAACTGAACTGAACGGAATTTTCAAGTAATCATCAATAAATTATGAACATTTTTACATTTTAAGATAAGAGTATTCAGGAACATATATTGTTACTTTATCTCTGCATATTAAATAAATGATGAGTAAACGTCCAACAACATTTAGCGAATTATTTAAAATACAACGATGTACTGTGATATATATGCAATACAATATATCCTTTGTGCTTTGAATTAATTTAAATCTCGAGGCTAAACTAATAAAATAAAATTATCTGCATTATGACTTCTTTCGTACAAAGCCTCAAATATGTCAATATGTACTGAGATTTAATAACAAGTAGCTTTTAACGGTTCATGACGTCGGGTCTTTGCAATTGGTAAAACTTTACAACACAAAAATGAGCCACAAAAATATAACAAATTAAACAGGTTTTATTTGTTATAATTAATTTTCTAAATCTTATTAATTATCAAATTTACATTCGGTTTCAGATATGGGTGTTTTTGAAGATCAGATAGAGCGAACCGTGTTCGTAGAATCGGGACAAGCAGCAATTTTGGATCTACCTTTGATAGAATCACATCCTACTCCTTCTGTTACCTGGCAATCAGACATGGGATCACTACCTTATGATCACAAATTTGCTGTGACTTCCAATCATCAGTTAGTGATATTATCGGCTTCGGAAGCAGATCAAAGATCATACAGGTTTGGGTTATTTAGTTTTTGGAAAATAATGCTATATCAGCATTGTATGGGGTAATATATTTGGTCTACATAATTTTTTGTTTTCCAAAAAATGAAAATATTCGTTTGAAAATTTTATTATGGTTTTTTAACGTTAATGAATATATGCAAGTTATTTTATAAGAATATGAAAAAATTGAATTAGATAAAAAAATCTACAATTTTTATTTCTATGAATAAGATTTTCTAGAGATTTTAAATATTTAGAAATTATTTTTAAGATATAATCTAGAAATCGTATTGGATAAATACACAATTATATATTGATTTCATTTAGAATTTCCTAAGATACAATTTTTAATTTTCCGAGTTTGTTTTCACTAAAAAAATCTGATTCGCTAATTTTGTTTTCTCGACGTTTCAAGCCATTCTGAATCGAATGGGACCAAATTTGGAAAAAGTGTGTGCGTGTGTCTTTGTGTATGTGAACAGGTTTTTAAATCGACGATTTCTCAAAAACGGCTGGACCTATTTAAAAAATTTTAACGCCATTCGATATTTCTCAATGGGGACAAGGAGTTTCTTTTAAATAGCAGGAAAGTGAAAAATTCTTTGTCCACGTTTTAGGTCACAAGCCTGAATTGATTATGAAAATTCAGAAACCGCTCTATCCATTTTTTTTCAATGTATTGAAACAATTTTCTTACTTTTTTTTAATGCGAGATTGCAACTCCCTCTATACTTCCCAATTACATTAATCATTTTTAACCAGGTCGATAACTGGTCAATGGTATTTTTATGGAAGTTTTACACTGAATTTCTATTCAGATTCTCTTAAGGTATTGCAAAAGTTTTGTTTTTCATTTAAATAGTTTAATTTTATTTTTGTTAAGGGCTGCTCACCTCTAACATTTTTTAAAAGAAATTTTCTTTATTTTTTTTATCAGACACACTTTCAAAATATACAATATTTTGAATATAAAGTGTATTTTTATAATACGAGATTGAAAATACAGTAGAACCTCGATTATCCGGACTAATGGTTGTCGATGGGCATCCGGATAATCGAAAATCCGGATAATCCAGATTATGAAGAATAATGTTCTGTTTATCAAAAATAACAAATAACAGATATCAACAAAAATCGATGTTTATTAGAAAATTAACACTTACATATTTCTTACAATTACATTACATTATACATATTATATTAATCATGAGATAAAATAATTAGGTGGTACGTAAAGTATCAATGAAGAAGAAAAGTTGCTTACGAATAATTTTTTTATCGTTTTTGTAAAAACCAACAATATAGAGCTTCTTTTAAGAGTTAATTTTTCGGTCTCTTCATCATATTCCGATTTTCACTCCCCTCTTCACTATCTAACTTGCAAGTATACGAAAAGACAAAATTGAATCGGCATTCTTTTTGATATCGCTTATAGTGGATGTACCTACACCATACCTATCAGCTAATTTACGGCCTTACGGTTTCGCCTTTTTAATGATTCTATAATATTTATTTTATTTTTAAGGGATAACACCACCCTTTAAAAATGTATGTATACGTCAGAAAACACTAGTCAAATTGCAAACGAACTACATAAAGCAATAATGCCGCGTGGGGCAGCGAAACAACGGCGCGGGCGGAATATGCAAGTTCCGACGCGATTATGTCCGGATAATCACAAATCCGTATAACCGAGGTCCGGATAATCGAGGTTCTACTGTACATGTAAATTCCAATGTCAATTTTCAACTTATATAGAAATGATACATAGAACGTATTTCGTGAACTAATTTTACGTAGAACGTAGAACACATGAACAAAAAACATTTTCTATTTTGCACCATAGCACTTACATTGTATGCAATTAAATGACGTGTTCTTTACTAGTTTTACAAATAATTATAATTATTATGGTAATTATAATATCTTCGTGCGATTTTAGTTTTGTAAGTTTGAGTCAAGTAAATTTCAAAATATAAATAAATTATGTGATTTGATAAATTTTGTTTCGACTTTTAGTCGTATAAATTATTCTGTTAATTTTGGTAACTTTGATCTTCTATCGATTCTATTGAAACGTTTATTTCTGATATTGCAGAGCTCATGCAATAAACACTCAATCCGGTAAAGAAGAAAACAGTGCCTTTATTCGAGTGAATGTGACAGGCGATTACGCTTACGAAGTCGCACCCGAAATAATCATCAAACCGACCGACTTGAAGATCGTAAAAGGTCAACAACTCGCCGAACTGCAATGCATTGCAAACGCAAGACCTCTTCACGAACTCGAAACCTTATGGCTCAAAGATGGAATTTTAATTGAGAGCTCCGGGATATCTTACAATTTCAATGATCCCTGGAATCGTACGCTGGGTCTTTTGTCAGCAAACTTGACATACAGTGGTCAGTACACTTGTAACGTTCGTCTCCGAAGTGGTGGTTTCCCTACGGTAACATCTAAAGCTGATGTGGTTGTATTAGAAAAGCCTAGATTTATCAATAACATGAGAGCAGAAACTTTAGGTGATTATGGATCACAAGTCGTTTTGCCGTGTGACGTGATAGGTGAACCAATGCCTATTATTAAATGGTATAAAAATGTCCAAGAAATACAAGATAAAGGGTATGAAGTACAAGAAGATGGTTCTTTATTGATCAAAAGACTAGCTACTCACGATTCGGCCATGTTTCAATGCGTTGCTCGCAACGAGGCTGGTGAACAATCTGGATACACTTGGTTGAAAGTGAAAAGTAAGTATCAATTAATAAGGGCATTATGTGCTTTGACTTATTTTTATAGTTCTTTTATTATTAATGTTACATTATCAGTATTTTACACTTACATTGTCTAATTTATTTCGTTGTATCACGACAAAAAATTCAATGGGTTATTATTCCTATATGCAAGGAAATTGAATTCTGCAAATGATTTTTCCACATTTCATTCGGAATACTTATCATCACACAAATAATATAATCAAGTGGTTATCAAAATTTACAGTTTGTTTAAATCATATTTCCTATATATTTTACTTCACAGCAAGGTCCAGAACTAAACGAAAAACTGAACAGAGAATCGTTAGAGTCAGATCTCCCAACAAAAATATTAAGACGTTCAATTTTGAATATAGCTGTAAGAAATATTTTTCCATTCTTGAGATTTACCATGCACTTGGTTGGTTTACGCGCACAGTGTGTTAGCTTTCACTTATTTGTATCATTATTTAGATATATAATTATTTAGTGTGTTAATTAGAATTGTTATATCATTTCACATGTATAAATTTCATTTTATACTGATTTATGCCATTGTGAATGGTTGTTATTCGTGAAGATAAGTATTACTTTTAACTAGTTATTAGTTCACTGAGCACTGACGATTGATTTTTATGTAACTTAAGATGATTGCTTTCAATGCATGAGATCTTATGTTATTTATATGCAAGTTTGTGACCACGTTGATAACATTAACTTCAATCATCAATTTTAGCATCAAAGCCTATATTGGAAGTGCCACCGGAAAACGTGACTGTTCTTGATGGAAAAGATGCAACAATTTCTTGTAGGGCAGCCGGAGCCCCGGCACCTAATGTAACTTGGTATTATAATGGTAATTATTATTACTAACTTACTCTTATTAATTAATCCTATACTATTAACTTTTTTTCATTTAATTTTTGTACCGTATGAATTATATTTGTCAATAATAATTGAAGACAGTCATATGAAATATAATATGAAAACTTGTTAACATAATATTTAAATAATTTATAAATAATCGTTTAAATATATTTAATATGTTAATTAAACATAATTCAGAAGCTTGAAACAAAATTCAAGCAATTTTATATATATATATATATATATATATATATATCAATTTTTGGAAGGAAACAGAGGTAGGTTGCTATAGATTACGCGTATCAGTAAATTGCTTTAAAAGTTATAATAAATGATTTTGTATTGATATTGTGTGATTGGATGATTCATTTTATAAAAGTAGTTATTGATTATTTTATTTTAATTTTGTGTTGACAAAAGAAGATGTGTCATTTAACAGTGTGTATTTACTAACATTTATAGATGATGGACCGCTTGAAATAAATAGTCACTTGCAGCTTTTGGAATCAGGCGATTTATTAATATCAGATGTACGCGAAACTGATGCCGGTAAATATAAATGTGTTAGAGCTAATGAAGCTGGAACAGTATCGGGAGAAGCCTATCTTACTGTAATGGGTACGTAGCAACACTGTTTGTATGCTGATTTAACTTAATTTTTTATAATGCATGTTAAATTAGATGCATATAATTTGCATGGACTGTCAAAAAATTTACTTTGTCAAAATATTGATAATTTTACACTAAAAGATATTTTAAACAAACAATTTTGAAATAGACAGAAAACTTATTTTCATGAGTTGCAAACATACACTAATTGTTTCATTTTCAAAAATCTTTCAACTGTTGTTAGTGAAACATCATTTCTGTAGTGAGAATGGTGAAAGCTAAAGAATTATTTTGAATAATCTATCCGCTGAACAATTTTAAAACTGTTAAAGAATAAGTATGAATTTCAAATATTTTGTAATAGCATTTCCAAAATTTTGTTGTATCACTTCTGGTTAAGACATGCTTGATCATATATTCATAAAAAACATATTCTTTTAGTTCGAACTCAAATCATACAACCACCTGTTGATACAAACGTTCTTCTTGGACTGACAGCTACTTTGCAGTGTAAGGTTTCAAATGACCCTTCGGTTCCATATCATATAGATTGGTATCAGAATCACGAGTTAGTATTTTTGATTAGCAATTACTAATTTATTTGCAAATTACATAATGTATATTTATATTGGCTTCAGGTTAATTGTTTTCGGCAACAGTCCACGGATAAATATTCTCATTGACGGCACACTCGAAATTCAAGCAGTTCGAGCTACTGATGTTGGAGAATATTCTTGTTATGTGACGTCTCCCGGTGGTAATGAGACCAGAACAGCCAGATTGAGCGTCATAGAATTGCCATTTGCCCCGACTAATATAAAAGCTGAAAAATTGGATACATTAACTCAAAGAGCTATAAATGTTTCATGGACTCCTGGTTTTGATGGTAACAGTCCTACTAAAAACTTTATTGTTGAGAAACGGGAGGTACCAGAGCTAGGTGAGAAATGTTGTTTTAATAGCTCTTGAAATTTAGTTAACATTCAGTATAATTACAAAAAGCATGCATGAATTCAAAAAGTGTTTGTTACATAGTTGAGATTTATATTACATTATTATTGTTATTTTTTTATTTTTAGGGCCCCTACCTGACCCATTATTAAATTGGGTGACTGAATTGAGTAATGTATCTGCAAATCAAAGATGGATTTTATTGACTAATTTAAAAGCTGCTGCTGCTTATCAGTTTCGAGTTAGCACTGTAAATAGTGTAGGCGAAGGATCACCATCTGAGCCTAGCAATGTAGTTATGCTCCCTCAGGAAGGTATTAGGATTTTTCCTTCAATATTATCTATTTTTCACCAAATGAATTGTGTTATTATTATTTATATAAAAATAATTTTTCTTTTTATACTGATGAAAGATTTCTAGTTCGTCACATTTCCAATCTTTATCTTACAGCCCCTTCTGGGCCACCAGTTGGTTTCGTGGGTTCGGCGAGATCATCTTCTGAAATTATTACTCAGTGGCAACCACCTTTAGAAGAACATCGAAATGGACAAATTTTGGGATATGTTATACGTTATAGGTTATTTGGCTATAACAACAGTCCATGGACGAGCAGAAACATAACAAATGAGGTTTGTTGACAAGATGTTTTTATTTAATATAAATATTACTTATATAATTAATTAATTAGTTTTGATTTTGAAATATGTATACTATATATATATATATATATATATATATATATATATATATATATACATACTAAATACTAATTTATTACTAGCTTTATATGTATTCTGGGCATAGTAATTATTCTAGGCTTTCTATTTTAAACAAATTTTATTCAACAGGCACAAAGGAATTTTTTAATACAGGAATTGATCACTTGGAAGGACTACATAGTTCAAATCGCCGCTTATAATAACAAAGGTGTTGGTGTATTTACAGAGGGTGCAAAAATTAAAACTAAAGAAGGGGTTCCAGAATCACCTCCCACAAATGTGAAAGCAAAAGCATTGAATTCCACCTCTGTTCGAATATGGTGGAAACCTCCAGATCCTCAAAAAATTAATGGCATCAATCAAGGTTTGTTATTTAATCGTAATTTAAATTACATTAAAAATAATACTAATACAAGTAAAATTAGACATTTAATTTTTATATTATTGTTACTCAAACCTGAAGTGTTATATTTTTTTCAGTTCACTACTTTACTTCATTCGAGTTGTTACACTTTTTATTTCTGCAATGAATCAAATAGTCCTACCAATTTATTAAATCTTGTATTATGAAAATTATTATTTATATTTAAGGATATAAATTACAAGCATGGATTTCTGAAATTGAGGAGAATTCAAATGTGATTCAAGTGGAAGCTAGAATGCTAACAGTTCCTCCTAGCCTTTTTGATCCTTTAGCCGAACAATCTACTATAATGAATGGTCTGGAGAAGTTTACTGAATACAATATTACTGTATTATGTTTTACTGATCCTGGTGATGGAGTTAGAAGCAAACCAACACCTGTGAGAACCAGTGAAGACGGTATAATTTATAGATTTTTTTTATAGATACATATATGGTTTTTATGGAAATTAAATTTATTTCAAAATGTGAAGATAGCTAATTTTGCATGATTCTAATTTTACTAAATTACAGTTTATACTCAAAAGTTTAAATTGCATGATTTTGGCTTAAATGTATTGAAAGATTTATTGAATTGGATTATATTTTAACAAATAACATTTAAAAAGTTTGTTATAGATGCATTATTCGGCAAATTATCTTTTTTTTCTTTGAATCTAAAACTGGCATGATACTTTGTGTAATATTTGTATTTTTAATTTTGACAACAAAGAAATTTAATTAAAAGTAATTTATGAGATTTTGAGTTATATAAGTTACTATGTTTTATTTATGTAAAATTATTTGATTGCAGTGCCTGATGAAGTAAGTTTATTGCAATTTAATGATGTATCAGATAGGGCAGTAAATGTTGCATGGGCTCCTCCAAGGCAAGTTAATGGTATTCTAACTGGTTATCGGGTTAGATATCAAATTAAAGATACCCCAAGTACACTTAAAATTGTCAATTTGTCATCAAATGTAACAAGTCTCATGGTAACACAATTACAGGTAAAATTGTATGGAAAGTATATTATTTATAAGATTTATACTCATTAATATGGAGTAATTTTTTATCTGATTATATTTTTGTTAATTATACTTTTAGGCCACTACCCACTACTGGTTTGAGGTAACTGCTCATACTGCTAAAGGTAATGGCGTACCTCGTACTGCAACCATACAATCAGGGGTAGAACCAGTTTTGCCTGATCCACCCTACCAACTTGCTTTATCAAATATTGAAGCTTTTTCCGTTGTTTTGCAATTTACACCAGGATTTGATGGAAATTCATCTATCACCTTATGGAAAGTTGAGGTTAGTGAGCACTTGCTAATATTAGATAAGTGCAAATTAATTTTTGTAATATAAATTAATGTAATTAATAATACTTCATATTTATTAGTTCTTTTGCTCGAATAATCGGTTTATTTTTTGCATTTAATTTAATATCCTTACTTACAATTAGTTCTTATTACTTATATTTGAGCATGTCAACTTTTAATTAGTATATATTTTAATTTACAATTTCAATGCAACAAAATAAGTATTGGCATACAAAATTTAAATTGCTGTTTTAGATACAGTATAAATGTAACATTTAATTTATGTTCTTTTTTTTATTTGAAGGCACAAACTGCAAGAAACTCAACATGGTTTACTATATTTGAAGTATCAGACCCTGATGCTACCACACTTACTGTAACTGGCTTAGTTCCTTTCACTGTATATAGACTTAGACTAATAGCAAATAATGTAGTTGGACATTCGTTGCCCTCTGAGCCAAGTAAAGAGTTTCAAACTATTCAAGCACGACCTAGTCATCCTCCAAAAAATGTAACAGTGAGGGCTATGAGTGCCACAGAACTTAGAGTGAGATGGATAGTAAGTTCCAGTTACTTAATTTTTAGTTATGAATTGATTTGCCATTGTTATTAATTGCAAAACCATATCAATTCAATACTGTTTTTGTAGCACCATGCAATATAATTTTTGAAATTACTTATTAAATTATAAACTTTAAATAACATTTACCTGTATTTTTGCAGCCCTTGCAGCAAATTGAGTGGTTTGGCAATCCACGAGGTTACAATATAACATATGCTTCAATTGAACCTAATCCTGTTCCAGAAGTTCGGAGCATATTAATAGAAGATCACACTGCTAATTCACATGTTTTAGATGGTTTGGAAGAATGGACACTGTATTCTATCAGTATGCATGCTTGTAATGATGTTGGTAGCTCATTCAGTTCTCCTGCAGCTATAGAAAGAACTAGAGAAGCAGGTGTAAATTCATTTCTTTGAAATAGTTGTTTTTTTATATGAAATAGTAATTTAAAATTATAATATGTTTTAATATCTTACATTTAATTGTTTAATTGATATAATTGTTATTCTATTTTTTCTATTAAAAACAAAGCAATAGCATTTATAAACAAATTGTATCAAATTACAGTTCCATCATTTGGCCCATTAAATGTTGAAGCTAATGCAACATCTTCTACTACTATTGTTGTTAAGTGGAAAGAAGTTCCCTTAGAGCATCAGAATGGTCAAATAGAAGGGTATAAAGTTTATTATGGTGCAGGTGTCAGAGATCCTGTTCGTTACAAGCAAATATTGGATAATTCTACATTTACAACAACTTTGACTGAATTGAAAAAATATGTGCAGTACCATGTGCAAGTGCTTGCTTTCACAAGGTTGGGTGACGGTGCTTTGAGTTCTCCGCCTATAAGGATTCAAACATTTGAAGACGGTAAGCTAACAATACAAATTGCATATGCATTTCAGCTTGGTTATGTTGTTGATTGCACTACAGTATCTTACATTAATTTGTTATTTTTAGCGCCCGGAGCTCCATCCAATGTTTCATTTCCTGATGTATCTTACACAACTGCTAGAATAATTTGGGATGTTCCACAAGATCCAAATGGCGAAATACTCGCTTACAGAGTTACATATCATATGAATCTAAACCCAGAATTGAATTATTCTAGGGAATTTCCTCCATCTGATAGAACTTTTAGGGCAACTGAACTTATGGCAGAGCAATACTACATGTTTTCTGTGACAGCTCAAACAAGATTAGGATGGGGAAAAATAGCATCTGCTTTAGTGTACACTACAAATAATAGAGAGATACCACAACCTCCTTCTCTGCCTCAGATTAGTAGAAGTCAAGTACAAGCACAACAGATTACATTCAGTTGGACACCAGGTCGAGATGGATATGCTCCTTTAAGGCGAGAATAATTTTTTTATTAAAGGCTATTATAGGTCTTTTAGACGGTTTTCTACTTTTTTACTCTGTATTGTATCTTATTTTAGAATTTTCATTTACCGTTCAATCTAACAATATTTATCTTTTTTTTTGTTGAATAATCGCATGAGTTTATGGTAGTTACAAACTGTCGCAAAAATAGCGCACGTTTTAATATCAAAATATCGCTTGCTGGAACAAATGGAGATCGATACGACGTCATTTTGCCTACTTGATAACCAGCATGCTATCCAGCCGGTCAAGAAAGCAACGAAACAAGCGTCGTGTGAATAGGTCTTTACATGACATTTGTTTTCTGCATAGACCTTATATAAGGTCTATGGTTTTCTGAGCTGGCTACATAGCATGCTTGATTTTTGAGTGAGATTTGTTTTAGCTTGCTAGATTTTCAAATATGATACACCACATGACAAAATACTGCTTCCCTATTGATTCGAATGTACAAATTTATCTACAAATAGTTGGTATTGGTATTTCGCCTTGAGGCAAGTTACATGAACTTCTCGATATGTATAAATACACCTAAGTCTGTTTTTACACGGTCTTTTTGTACACGGTTTTGATATAACACGGTTTGAAAATTGAATATTTTTAAATTTTTTACACGAATTTATTCCATTTAGCGACTTGAAATTTTATGTACCTAAATTTTTTTGTCAAATTAAATATTTGCGAAGTATGTTCATTCACAAAAAAGTATTTATGAAAGAAAAAAGTCTGAAACCATCGATAGTATCGATAGTTTGCAAACACTAGCTTAAAGATTTAAGTGAATTCCCCTTTAGCGCGTACAAACAATTTTTACTGGTCAAAGCAAATGTGAATAGCACTAATTTAATTCTTGTTCTTAAAAATTATTGTTTTTCACCAATTTTAATAGGTTTTAGAGATTAGGAACGAATCACCCATTTTTGTATAAGGTCAATGTCTTTTTTTACACGTTTTTTTTTTTTACACGGATTCTTCTGGAACCAATCTCCGTGTAAAAACAGACTTAGGTGTAATCGACTTATCAGTAAAAAATAAATTAATTTATGGGTGATTGAATGTATTACGAGTGGATTTATTACACATAATTGAAAACAAACAAACTTGTTAACTCGGAGTATTTTCTGAAAGAAAATTTTCACAAATCAATAATTTTTATAATTGAGCCAGCTTCCGTATGACTTTAATGGTTCAGTATGTTTATTGAGACCAAGTACTCTATTGTTATACCAAGTAAATCGTCTAATTTTAATTTCAACAAATGTCAAAAACACTACTTATTTTCTCAAACTTGAAAAATTTTTAAAGTTAAACTACTTGTCGTAAGGCCGTAATATTGCTGTAAGTTTTATAAGACCATGATATATATTTTCAAAAAAAGTTTCATAAAAATCGGCTTAAATTTTTTTTTCAACAGTTAATTACAAGAAAACGGCTCGGTAAATTTTCAACTAAAACTAATCAGTATCATTCCCAACTAATATCTTTCGAACAGTTTTTGATTTTTTAAAATCGATTCGGCTTAAATGTGGACGAAAAGTTTAACACTTTTTTCAAAATTACAAAGAAACGGCTCGGCCGATCGTCGCACAAAACTGACAAACGATAGTCCTCATTGAGATAATCAAATGGCTTTTAAATTTCTGATACCAGTTCAGGCGTTTTTGAGCAAACGTCGATAAAAGTTCTAATTTTGACAAATGCCAAAAAACTACTAATTTTTGCAAACTTTGACGAATTTTCAAAATTAAACGGCTTATCGTAGGGCCATAATATATAGTATGATCTAGGAGACCATGATATCTATCACCAAAAAAAAAGTTCATGAACATCGCCGAAAAAAATTTTTGTTAACACTTTATTACAAGAAAACGGCCCGGCCGATCTTTACCAAAAACTAATCAGGTTGATTCCCAACCAATATCTTTCGAACGGTTTTTCAATTTTCAAGATCGATTTAGAATTGCGGGCTAAAACGTGGACGAAAAACTTTTCACTTTTCTGCTGTTTACGAAGAAACGGTTAGGCCGATCGTCGCACAAAATTGATAAACGATTGTCCTTATCGAGATACATCGAATGGCTTTTAAATTTTTGAAATTGATCCAACTGTTTTTGAGTAAACGTCGATTTACGGATTTAAATGTGTTCACGCACACACACATACTTTTTCCAAATTTGCTCTCATTTGATTCAGAATGGCTTGAAACAAAATTAGCGAATTGGATTTTTCAATGCAAACATAAACTTCTTCTTCGGGAGCAATGAAAAAAGTCTTGTGTATTTAGGGCTTTGAGCGTGCGCTATTTTTGTGGATAGATTCGTTCGTTCGAACCAATAGAGAAGCAGTATTATGTCATGTGCTTTATTATATTTGAAAATCTAGCAAGCTGAAACAAATCTCACTCAAAGCAAGCAAGTCTTCTCGCAATGTGCAAAGCAAACGGCTTGAAAAACTATCATATAATCTAGCGCCGAGATCCGCGGCAAAATCATGCATAGCTGCCAGCCCAGAAAACAATTGTTGTGTGATACTTTATTGATATATAACTTTTTAGTTATATTTGCTTTACTTTTTTATGTATCATATTTAGATATTATACTAAATATTATAATAATTGTAATTAATATAATTAGATATTATACTGTGCAACTACGAGAAAACGAAGGACCTTGGCACAGTTTGCCAGAACGTGTTAATCCTGCTGTAACATCATACACAGCTACCAATTTAAGACCGTACAGTACGTATCAGTTTCGTATCCGAGCTACTAACGACATTGGGCCTAGTGCGTATAGTACTGAGTCTATTGAAGTACGGACCTTGCCTGCAGCACCTAGTAAGGAGATTAGCAATATACGAGCTGTGCCTATAACTCCAACGAAAGTTCGCGTTGAATGGGATGTTCTTCCATATCAATATTGGAGCGGAGACAATGATACGGGAGGTTACAGAGTGCTATTTCAACCGGTTACTGATTTTCCAGCCGCTTTGCAAGCGACTCCGAAGGAAGATGTATCTGGTATTAATGTAAGTATTTCACCATTTTGTGTACATGGAAACTTATTGTTGCCTGTTTTTTCTATTTATATGTAATTCATTGAAGGTCGCCTTCAATGAGTACATTACATTCAAAATTGAGATTAATTTACCCGATAAAACTTTTTTTTTCAAAATATGGAAATAATTTTTCATCATTTTTATCATGCTTTTATGTTAAGAAAGATGTATATTTAAAATTCTTTAGCAAACTGTTCAACTCAAGCTTTAAATCTTTCATATTATATATTTTTGTCATCATTTATCATAGTAATCAACTATACAGAATTATATTATAAAATACTTTAAATGTGTGAATATGCACTCCCATAATCAGAACTCTGGCATAATTTGAAAAAAAAATTAAGTATATATTTAAATTGCTTAATTAGTTGCCATTTTTCTGTATACATTGTAAAACTCATAGTAAAACGTTTCATACTGATTATTGTGTATATTTTAATCATTTATTACAATTTTATATTTTCAGTCTGACATGTTAATTCTTTCCGATTTGACTCCTGATCGTAACTATGAAGTGATAGTAGTAGCATTTAATTCTCAAGGCTTGGGACCTCCGAGCCCTCCTATAACTGTATATGTAGGAGAAGCTGTACCTACTGGTGAACCACAAAGTATTCAGGTTCAGGCTGTCAGCAGTACAGAAGTCTTATTGAAATGGAAACCACCTAAACAAAGTATGCAGAATGGTGAACTTTTAGGATATAAGGTAATTATTTTTTATATAAGAGAATGCAGAAAAAAATTCTACTGATCTTAATTCACCAACATACTTGCACTCATTTGTAATTGATATGAAGCTGCTATGATTATATAATATGATTATATTGCTAATTACACTATTGTTCTTTTATTACTTTTGAGCAATAGGCCAAAAATTTTGGGTTTTCTTTCTATATTATACAATATGGGCAGAATGCCTTTAGAAAATAAATTTGAATATTGGTTTACAATATTAGCAGAATTCCATTGTATTCAAATCCAAATTAATTATGTAACTATTCTTGCTTTGGAAATGCACTTAATTTCTTTAAAATCTTTAGGGTATAGTTTTAGATAATGCACTCATTCGTGAAAGGTTAATTTATTGTACAAATGTGTTATAACCTGGTTATTTTATATTATATTGTTGCTGTAAAACTTTCAATTAGTTCATTGTATAGAAAATAAATATGAAAATTATCTTGATTTCATAAATATGAGGTATGCCAAATTACCTAAAAATAAAAAAAAATTGTATATAAGTATAATCTTGTAATGATATATTTTTCACTTACAATTTTTCTTATACAAAATAATTATACAATTAGCACTGGAATTTTTTGTTGCTTGTTTTTCTTTAAAAAAAAAAATTGATGTACTGTTTACTTTTGTCAAATATTTTAATATAATAGGGATTTATTATGCATCTTTATTTTTCTTTTGTTTTTGTTTATTTTAGATATTTTATTTAGTCACCGATTCACCCCAAGAGCCAGAAAACGATAAACCAATTGAGGAAGAAATAGAAGTTGTGCCTGCGACATACAGTGCACATAGTTTGGTATTTCTTGATAAATATACTGAATATAAAATACAGATTTTGGCTTTCAATCCTGCTGGTGATGGACCGCGATCATTACCAGTAACGGTAAATTTATAACTGTTAATGTGGATAATTAATCTTATTACATTTGAATCATTAAAAATGAAATATCTCTAGGTGCGAACATTGCAAGGTCTACCAGGTCCACCAATGAATTTGCAATTTACTGATATTACTATGAATAGCTTGAATGTATCTTGGGATCCACCTAAGAAAAGAAATGGTGATATTTTGGGATATATAGTAACCTATGAAACTACTGAACAAAATGAGCGTAAGTTGTATTTAAAAATTTGCTTTCTTTAATTCTTAATACAATACTTTAATGTGATTTGTATTGTATATTCAACATGTTAACAAAGGCATAGTGACTAACATTTTTCTGGTCTACATTTGCAGATTTCATTAATATATCCTGGAATATTCAATAATTTTCACCACTTTTAAGTGTTTTCTTGAAATTTATCATACATTTTTAACTATTTTACAGTTATTTTTTTAATCTGTGGATTGCTTAGAAATTTGAAACTATTTGCAAAATCTTAGTTTGCACATATTTTGGAAGAAAACTGATATTCTATTTTGTCATATAAACCTAAACGTTTTAATAATACATGTTGAGTTCCGTTATTTATAGTGGACTAATACCTAGTGAACTTTTTGAATAACAGTGTTCTTGTAAGGCTAAACATTATTGTACTGGTGGATTCTTAGTGCGCTAAGTATGAGAACTATGGCCTGGCAGGTTTCAGCCTTGCATATCATGGTCGCCGAAATCTTTGAAATTGTAATAAAAAACGAAAATTTAACTTGTTTTTGTAAGCTTCAAATTCTTATATGATTTAATTTATACATTGAGAAGTTTAACTAGTGGGGCGCATGGCATTGTCTCTTAAGGCAAATTGCTGGAACTTCTCGTACAAAAAATTATTACTTACTATTTCGAAAAAATTAGATTTTTGAGAAACTATAAATTTGACAAAAAATTACTTTTTTTTGAAAAAAAAAATTTTATTGAAAAAAAAAATGTTTTCTTTATTTTGACATAATTCTGAACTTTTTTCAAAGCAATCGTACTGCTTTAACTGCATAGAGACGAAATGTCAAAGCGCGTAAGCGCCGCGTCGCCGTCTAACCTATGAACATTGGTACGGAACCCATAGGAATGTAAACAAAATTTATACTTATTGTTAACATTTCTATAAAATATCTGATAATTTGATGTGCATATGTCTAATGATCATTTTTGACCGCCAAATGGCATTTTTTTTTACTTTTTTCATTGGCACTTTGAAACCGCTAGACCTGCCTTCATGAAAATTTGATCAATTCTTCATCTTGTCAATACAAGTAAAATGTTTTTTTGAATTATTAAAATCGGACGCTCCGTTTTCTTAAAAACTGCGTTACCATTTTTGGCACTTTTTGCCCCATATCTTCTGAACGGCTAGGCCTACCTTCGCCGAAAACTAATCAGCCTTATCAATACGAATCGAATGTTTTTTAAATTATTCAGATCGGTTGATTGGTGTTCCCGAAATCGTCGACGAAAAATTGTATCCGCACACACACACACACACACACACATTCATTTATTGTAAGATATGCCAAAATACTCAGAAACCTTTGAAACGTAAAGATATATAAAAAATTTCATTTTCGATTTTTTTGCGATTACTATAACTTGCCCTACGGGAAGTTAAAAGTCAAATTGCCAGACGAGCCGAATGGTTCACTTTTATGAGCAAGATGCATATACATTAAAATAAACTTTGTCCTATGAGGTTAAAACTTAAATGCGTGTTTGTCTAAGCAATTTCAAAAAGGTATTTGCAATGCTAGGCAATTCGGTTCCCTCACCAAGCAAGTGCAAATCAATTAGGAATTTGAAAAATAACTTTTATTTTGATGTTTTTTATTTTTATTTTAATGTTAACTATATTGATATATAAAACGAAATTTTTTTTTGCAACTTTTAATTATTAACGATTGAAAGTTGATAAAATTTGAAAATAACTCATTCAATTCAAATCTATATGTTTTAAAAACCTAGAATAATCCGGGACAAAAGACCTAAATCAATTTTTTGATATATAATTTACAATAATTTCTTCTGAATCTAGTAATTATTCAAACAGATGAGCATTGTCTTTTGTTTGTTCTTGATGGAGAAGTTTCATCTTTTTGCCTGCTAATTTTATGTTTTTGGTTTTGAACGGTCAGGCCGGAATCAATTGTTGAAAAATCTTTTTGTAATATTAAAAAAATTCTAAAATTCGTAAAAATTTAAAAATAAATATATTTTGAGCTGAGCTTTTTTTTTTTGCTTAACTATCAATTTAAGATATAGTTTTTTAGGAGTGCTTTCAATTTTTTTTTTGTTAATTTACAATTATCGATTACTTTTGTAGAAATTAGTAAAACGAGATTGTTTTCTGTGAATGTTCTGAACAAAAAATTGTAATTCTAATTTTTTTTTAAAAATCATTCATTAAGGGTTTTTTTGAAGAAGATGAGAATAACACTTCAATTTTAGAAACTTAATCGATTTTGTATACGTATTATTTGCGGGACGACCTACAAGTATATGTAAATTTAGAAAACGAGATAAAGCTTAGTTGCAAAAGATTGATCGTAGATATTTTATTTAAAATTACTGTTTAAATAGTTGTTTTTATCAATTATTATTTAAATTAAATATTTGCACTTATTTGAAAGTGATATTCCACTAATTTAAATTTTGCCCTACGAAATATGTATGATATATACAATATTATGAAAAATATTTTGAAATGATATAAGATACATTGCCATTACAAAATATCACAAAATGATACGCAATCACAATCTTAAAAAAATCATCAAATATTGCACAAAAATTTGATACAGTGTATTAATAACAAAGCATTTTATAATTTTCTAATAATATTGTATTAGATCAGGAATGTATTGATATGAAGACTTGGTCAAATAAGCAATCACACACTAAAACTATTTTAAATAACAAAGATACTGTTTCAACAGCATGCTAATACAGGAGTCGTCTAGGACATGCTAATCGAGAATCGTCTTGTGTTACTAATTTCTTGTATTTCTGTTTTGTTTATAGTACCTCGAATACCTTCAATTTAAATATAACAGACAATAATATTTATACACACAGGATTTAGCAAACAAGTGAAGCAAAAAGTATCAGAAACTTCACTAATAGTACAGAGTTTGGAGGAGGAAGTGACATATACTTTTACTGTGCGGGCTCAGACTAAAATAGATTTTGGACCAGCTATTCTGGGCAATATTACCACTGGCCCTCAGGAAGGATCACCTCTGTCGCCCAAGGAACTTACAATCACCAAAACAATATCAAGTGTTCAAATGCACTGGAGCAACAGTGCTTCTGGACGAGGGCCAATCTTAGGCTATTATATCGAAGCAAAGAGAAAGAGTTAGTATCTTGTAGATAAAATCTACATTGCTATTATTATAGTTTGATCATAAGCCACTGGACCAGTTATTATATATAAATATATACATATATTATTATATATAAATATACATATATATATACATATATATATATATATATATATATATATATATCTTATATATAAAATACTCGTGTCACAAAGTTCGTTCCCGTATTCCTCCGTAACGGCTTTACCGATTCTTACCAAATTTTATATTCATATTTAGTAGGTTTGAGAATCGGTAACAATAAGTGATAAAGGTTGTTCACCCTTAATCTTATTATTTTTTTTATAATGTGGCATTAAAAAATACATATAACCTTAATTTTGTTTAAATTATCACTAACCCCTATTTTTTTATAACCATTTTAGTAATTTAATCATGCATTTTAGTAATTTAATCCCGCATTCAGTTACTGAATATTTTTTATATAATTTTAGTTCAGATATTTGATCTTGAAAAAGAAGCTTAAATCTTACTTGAAAAAGCAATGGGAGTCAATTCTTCATTTTATTTTTTTTATATTTAAAAAATACAACTTTTTTTACTTCACAATTCTATTTATTTTTATCAAGGGTGGTCCACGACTAACATTTTAATTTAAATTTTATGACCTATTTTTTTTTATTTTAATTTTCTATAATTCGAAATTGAAAAATACATGAAACTCTCTATACTTTGAAAAACTGTTTATTTTTATCAAGGGTTTCCACCCCTAACTTTTTTTTTTAATTTTGAAATTAATTTTTTTTCAATCTTAATTTTCATAATGCGGAATTAAAAAAATGCATACAACTCGAAATTTTCTTCCTCCTTCCACAAATTCTATTTTATAATAGCCATTTTAGTAATCGAATAATTTTTCATCACGCTTTCAGTCAATGATTGTTTTTTACTGAATTTTAATTTATATTTCCTGACCTTATGATGAAGCCTGAATTTTATTTAAAAAAAAATATTTTTATTAAGGGTTGTCCACTCCTCCCATTTTTCCATTGTATAAATAGTTCCGCACACAGACAGTACATAGTTGATATATGGTTTGCATAAAGAGCAACTTTTTCAAAAAATAAAGAGATTATTAAAATTAAAGAGAATATTAAAATCTGAACATACGACAGTTTTTGATAGGAAACTAAGTACCATACAAATTTATGGCACAGCTGTAAAAATTTCCACTCTCATTTTTTTTAAATCACAAGCTGCTGCTTTCACTTATGCACCCCATAGGCAATCAGTTAGTTATTTTCATACTAAACATGTTATATTAATATTTTTTATGGTAAAACAAGGTATGCTGGGTATATATATATATATATATATATATATATATATATTGTTTTATAAATATATTGTTTTATAAATATATTTCATAGTATTGTAAATATAAGTGTATAATCAGTTGTATTAGTGTTGTTTTACACGATTTCAATCGTTCAATTTTCAAATACACATTTATATTTACATATTAAAAAAACTATTGAACAGATGAAGGTCGGTGGGAAACTGTATGGCGCACATCCAATGGTCCACTTCAGGAATTTGTTATATCATATCAAAGTCTTCTACCATCCACGTCATACAAGTTTCGTATCATCACATACAACCAGTATGGAATTAGCTATCCATTGTATTCTGAAGATTCAATTTTAACGCCATCTAAACTTTATTTGGAGTATGGATATCTTCAGCATAAACCATTCTATAGACAAAATTGGTTTATGGTGGCCTTGGCAGCAACTTCTATTGTCATTATAATCATGGTGATTGCAGTACTATGTGTGAAAAGCAAGAGTTATAAATACAAACGTAAGTGTCATTTATTTTTCTTCACATAATATTAATTTAATAAATAGTTCTTGGTAAATATCATATTTATTTCTCATAACTGATACCTTTTATTGTATTAAACTACATAACTAATCTCTATGAAAAACCCATTTTTAATTGTCTGTAGAATTAAAATATTGAAGAGTGAGTTAAAGGATAAATAAACAGCCCAAATTCTATAGAATTAAAAGATATTTTATTCAACAAATATTACACATACTTTTACTTCACAAATGTAGAAGAAGCACAAAAAACCTTGGAAGAATCAATGGCCATGGACATTGATGATAGACAGGAATTAGCTTTGGAACTATACCGTTCACGTCACAATGCGTCTACAATGTCGGGCAGCGGTGCCGGAACCTTGAGTAGGCGATTAGCTAATGGTACCTTGGGACGAAAGAGCAATAACAACAATATTCATGGAGGTGGAGTCATGAATCCGGCTCTTGGTAAATCACCTCCGAGACCAAGTCCGGCTTCAGTTGCATACCATAGTGATGAAGAAAGTCTCAAAGGCTATGACGAAAATCCTGATGATAGTAGTGTCACGGAGAAACCATCTGAAATAAGTTCATCAGAATCTCAGGTATATCATTATTGATGTTAGAGTATATAAACATTACTACACCACTTCGAGCACATATTATCTATTAACAAATTTCGTAGCAAATTTATTAAACCATTATATTACAATCTGCTTTTTGGTATTGAAAGCGAAAATAGTACATCCACTTGATGATCTTTTCTATTAGTCTAAGAGGCAGTGACCTATTTGACTAACTTATTTTCTCAGAGCTAGAAATTTTTTTAATGATATTTTATTATTGATACATTAAGAAAGTGCCGGTCTGGCAAGCATCTCGCGATTGCGTCATCATCCCTCGAGTTTTTGAAAATGTAAAAAATTTTTTTTTTTAACTTGCTTTCGCAAGACTCAAATTTTGAGGGTGCATTTTTTTAACTGTTCAGAAAGCATATGTAAAATGACAGACCATTCTGACGATTGCAAGGGTCTGCCAGACGAGTACATAATAGTCACGGCACGCAAGGGTGTGGGCGCATTGCCATACATAATCGACTAATACCCTTGTATTTGAATAATTTATACGCCATTTTGAAAACATCTGATATACCAAACTTCAACTTTGTATATCACCTTATGGCCGAGATATCATTGAAAATATGCCAAAGTAGCCCCTTTTTCAAACTCAATTTTTGGCTTAACCTTAAAAGATATCGAAAAAAAAACTACGTGATTCTACTCATATTGGCTTAGACTACATAAAGTATAGTAATATATGCTAAATAATCCTTTATTATTAGCTAAAAAGGATAAAATAATTATTCAATTAATGTTTTCGTATAGTGCGTTTTGTTTAATTACTTTCTTATTAGCGTTATTCGAAAGCCTATTGTTTTCTCTTTTAGTACTGCGAATATTGTTCAAATCAAATTTGTGGAACACATTGAAAAATTGAACAAACCAGAATCAGTACACCCGCGCGTAACGCTAATAGTAGCCCGCATAGAATTCGTTCGGTCGGAAAGCAGCGCGCGATGCGTTACGCGCGGATATACAAACTCTGGTTTCTTCAATTTTTAAATGTGTTCCACAGATTTGATTTGAACAATATTTTTATATATATATATATATATATATATATATAATATAATAAATTTTAAAATTACAGGGATCAGAGAGTGAAAATGAAAGTGTCAGGTCTGATCCGCATTCCTTTGTAAATCATTACGCAAATGTGAACGATTCTTTGAGACAATCATGGAAACGACAAAAGCCAGTTCGAAATTATTCCAGTTATACTGATTCTGAGCCGGAGGGCAGTGCTGTAGTTAGTCTCAATGGGGGTCAGATCATCATGAATAATATGGCTCGATCGAGAGCACCATTACCAGGATTTTCATCTTTTGTTTGATTTTAAATTTGACATTATTTATAACAAACACATTTATGTTTTTTTTCTAACAACGGAACTTAAAATAATAAAACTATAATTGAAAATCTCAGAATATATGTTAAATAATTTGTATAAAAAATATGATGGCCAAACAAATAACTTGATGGTCCTAGCATATAATTTCCATTCATATTTATTGGATTTAGGAGCTCTTATTATTATTATGTGAATCTCAATAGCAGATAAAAATTATTTTTTACGCGTTGTATATAGCAATTCGATAATGCAATATAATTTATGATACTATAATTAATTTTAAGCAAAAATATTTACAAACATAAAGCGAAAGACTATTAGGTAATGTGTAAATATTTGACTGATATATAAAAATATTAATTAATGCATGCGATTTATATACATGGTCAATGTTATATATTTTAAATTTAGTTTTAATTGACTAAAGCATTATTGTTACCACATTGGTTTTGACACTTCTTCAAATATGTATAATTATTTAATCAATATAATATTTTTAGAAGTACAAAAAAAAATAAAACTTGTAACCGAACTTTGTCATTTTTATGCATGTACATATATAGAACTCATACTTGTATTTCACAATTGACTTCAAATGTTTGTCTTAGTATGTGCAAAGTTTATTTTCCTTGTTTTTAATGTACCAAGTTTCTTTAAAAGTTTTATTCTTGTTTTGTAATAATTGGTGATTTAAACAACTTACAGGCATATAATGAAAAACAAGATACATGAGCAATATTTTTTCATTAGTCTTTTAAAAATAATTTGTTCACAAGGAGAATCTGAACTTAGAAGAATTATAGCAACAAAGTATATATTAATGTATCTTAATACTACATATTAAAGTTTCTGCTTCAAGAATTTTAATTCAATTATATTCCATGAAACTAGTTTTACTGCCAAAGTGTTTGTGTTATTGGTCAGGGATTTGTACATTAACATAAAAGGTTTTTGTGTAAATTAAATGATTATATTGATGGATTTAATCATAATTGCATATTTGAAAAATTCAAACTTTAGAAATTTTTAGACATTTAAGTGAATTGTAATAATAATATATTGTTACTAAAGACTGTATAAAGGGATATTATTTGTTGATATATTCAAATAATATTTCATATGTTTTTAATAAGTTGTTAAATAGCCATAACCATTTTGTAAAGTATTTGTTCCTTTTGGGTTTATGTTGGTTTCAAATTTGTGTGTGTTTTAGTTTGGGTATGCTGATGTAAAATTTAATTACCACAATATATTTTGTATAATAATGAATGTTAATTGACCTTACTTACTCCAGTAACAATACAAACATAACGCAATTGCTCATAAGCCCATAATTAAATTCTATTAAAGAAAGCAAATATAAATATTTAATTCGACACAAGGAATTTAAGTGTTAAAATTTTCTATATATATAATGAATAATTGCAAAGCAGAGAATTTTTCTCAAGACTAATTTCTTATTGCTGTCACTGAAAATTTAATTTTTAAAGTTTCATAATTATTAAACGAACAGAGTTTTGTTTAATGAATGGCTGGAAACATTTTTCACACATGTCAGATAATTTGTTTTATATTATCTGACAATTATATAGATAAATAGAAATAGATCATATGTTTGCATGTGAATTTATGTTTGATTATTTCCAAAGTATTCGAATTATCTATGTTAATATAAGTGATAGTTTTAGGACAAAAGTTTTGATATAAAATTAAGTTCAATAGTTAACAATTTTATATTTTCGAATATCAACAATAATTAATTAAAATTGGCTAAATAATCTATGTGGCCTGGAAACTATATCTGTATATATCTGCCTAATATTAAGATTTATAATATTGTTAGTGTAAGATTTACACACTCACACACACATATACATATATATATATATATATATATATATATATATATATATATATATATATATATATATATATATATATATATATATATATATATATATATATATATATACATTTATATTTATATATATATATATACATATATATTTATATATATATTATATATATATATATATATATATATATATATATATAGGTTCTTTTAGGGTGATACATCAAAGAATTTTTTTTGATGTATCACCCTGAAAGAACTTACTCATATATCTCGACATCAAAATTAACTACTAAATCACACACACACACACAGACATAGCATCGATAACATAAAACAAGCATTTTAAAAAATTAATATCATTGGAAAAATTAGCTTATCCTAGTGTTAAAAAACAGAAAAGATAATAATCTATGGTTACTTGTACATGTACTTAAATACTTCTATACTTGAACCACACTGCCATGAAGTAATGTTAATGTTATGATTAATTTGAGCAATCTTAATTTTTATATATGTGATCTGTATAGTAGAAATATAATTAGATATATTGATACAAAATAAATATAATTGTATTATTTAAGTATATTTAGAACTTTATATTTTGAACATAACACTATTTTGTCTACACAACATGGCTAGCTTTTCATTTTTAACTTCCTGTAGATTTTTGACCTTTTGTCGACATTTTCTCGACAACAAATGTGAAAATTTCAAATATTTAAAAGCCATTTAATGTATCTCAATAAAAGCTAGCGTTTGTCAGCTTTACTCGATCAGCTAAGCCGTTTTTTCTTAACTGTTGAAATTTTTTTTATGGTAATATTTTTATGTTGATAGATATCATGGACCTAAAAAACATACTAAAATATTTCGGCTCTTCGACAAGTGGTTTTATTTTAAAAACTCATCAATTGTTGAAAAAATATGATGTCAAAATTTGTCTCAAAAGTCGCTTTTGTGATATAATAAGTCAAAATTTAAATTTAAATACGATACAATAAAACCGAGCCGTGATTAAATTTGCGAAAAGATCGGCCAAGCTATTAGAAATTGTTATGGCTTGGGAATATGCAAAAAAGTAATTGAGCAGTCTGTAGAACTTTGCTAGTTGTGTAAAAAATATTACCATTTATTTAAATCATTAAATAATATCAAAGACTACATATATGATGCATGTAATCGTGCTTGTATTTTCTTATAGAAGATGCTTAATATTTCACAAAATAATTCAAGTTTAAAAAAAGAAAATGTTTTGATGTTTTTCATGAAATTTACCATTGCGATAAAGTTCTTGCACTAAAGTCCTATGAAAATTGGTTGAATTATATAAATAAATTTTGAAATAATAAGGTACAATTTTAGGACATACAAGCATGTATGATTGCACTATAATTTATATAATTACAGATAATTTAAATGTGTTTGAGAGATTTTAATTAGAAATCGTAATGCTTAGATTTAATTGAAAGCGAAAATTTTATTTTTGAAATGAACAGTTGAAAACTATCTAAAAAATGTATTTTCTATTGATTCAAAAATTTTAATTTCAGTTGCAAAATCGTGGATATTGTCTATGATTTTTTTCTAAGTTTTTTTGTAATTTTTTCCCCAATTTTTTTCTCTTTTTTTTAATTTTTATTTTCTTGAAATCTTTTTTTGAGATTTTTTTTCAACTTTTTATTCTAAATTTTTGTTCCCAATTTTTTTATGCATGATTTTTTTTAAAGTTTTCGTAGATTCGAAAATTTTAATTCCAGTTTCAAAATCGTGAACGTTTTGTCCATATCAAAACTATCACCGTAAAAATAAGACAAGAGAAACTTCAGTCTAAATATAATATAAACTAAATATAATATCAAATGAACTAAATATTCATCAATATATACAACTTTTTTATTTTCTAATATTTGAAGGTAATTTATTAAAGATTTTTTTGTTAGATTGAGAAAATATAATTCCTACAATAGAGAAACTGATGTAAGTACATGAAGCTGAAAAAGTCCAAAATTGAATGCCATAAATAATGTGGAAGTAAAGTGTGTATTGAATTATGAAAAACTTTATTTTATGTTGCAAATCAGATTTTGAACAATTTAAATTTACAAACAAATGATTAATGTTAAAATTCTATTTCTATTACTTATATTATACCGAGAAATTTAGTTAAATTTAAACTGTTAATAATTTTAATTTGAAAATTTAAAGAAAATACTTTAGAAGTAATTTTTCTCACAATAAAAACAGCACCCTATATATGTGTTAAACAATATGTGCCAATTTTATGAATATTATTATTTATGTTTTTCGAATTTAGCGCCGCCGTTTCGTGTGCCCTCATCACTGCACTCGATTGTCGCTGCTGTCGGTCTTGGCAACAGACAGGATCACTGTGCTTCGACCATAGACCTTATATTAGACCATGTTATGTTTACTTATCTATGTATTAGACCGTGTATATGGCTTCGACTCGCTCTTTTAATTCTAGACATTATAATAATAAGTTCATTTGTCTAGGTGGAACGCGTCGAATATAATAATCAGGTGTTATTTTAATTTTGTAATAATTATAAGAGTGCATTTCCTTTCCGTGGTTTTTGCACAATGTGTTGTGCAAGATGGCAGTTGAGTTTTGAGTTGAAATTTGACGCCGCCAACGATCAATCGATTTAATCAAACGCACCGTCAAGTGTTTCTAGTTTTTATGAGCAATCCAATGGAATTTTCACTGTTGCTACTGTTTCAGATGAATGCATTTGTGGTACTTTACTACTATTTGACACAGCGCGCATCGAAGCAAATTTAAGGTTAGTGGAGCTTGTAAAAAAGGATATCGCATTCATCCAATTCATACATAGTAATTTGTCTAGAGTTACGTTTTTTTAAACTATAAAATTAAGATGTATTTTAGGTTTTCTCAATAGCACACCTCATGCATTATGTGTTACCTCTCGTTCCCTTTAACTTGTTTTAAAATTAAAAAAAAAATATTTTGCTCCGTTTTGTGTCGAAATATATCTTTATTTGTCGATAAAATTGTAGACCTTTTAATTCGGTTTGACTAATATTTTTATATAGCTATGCATTATCTAATTTAAAATTTTGATTACAACTATTTTCAGGACTCATA